TGTACTGTACATTCTCAAATACTATACTTGTTTAATTTATGCTATCCTCGAATGTGTTTCAGTGGCAATGACTATTTGTTAAATATTATTTAGAAAACACACATTTCAAAAATAAGAATATAATAACCTATAGACCTATTATCCCCAAATAACTATTGTTAATATTCTAGTATATGTCCTTCCAGGATATTTCCCAATTCAAACACAAAACTACATTTTTACAAAAATTAGTATTTCAGTAACATTGTTCAATGTGACTACATTTTCTCCTGCTACATCATTATTAGTGACTACATTGTGACACAAATAAAATTTATTTAACAAATCCCTACTTCTGGTCATTTAATTTTTTCCTATTACTTCTATTATACACAACATTCTATTATTTTTTCCATAAGTATTTTTCATATGTACATGCATAATTCTTGAGGATAAAAATAATGGATAGAAAAGGTTAATAAAAAGATATATAAAATATATGTAAAGTTTTAAGACTTTGGGTACATATTGCCTGATTGTCCTCTATAATTATTGCTTAATGACTCTCTTCTATCAACTATGTGAAAGAGTTTGTTCCTCTCAATATCAGTTGGCTTTCCTATGAACACTTGTTAATTTTACAGGTTAAAAATATATCCTATTGTTATTTTAATTTGTGTTCTTTAATTATTATTGTTATTGGTGCACTTTTCTAGTAATATTTCTTCTTTATATTGATATATTGTTATATTGATTAATGAGCATTGTTTGTTGAATAAATTTTACAGACTGGTTGTTGTTACATTACATATCTATGTGCTTATGAACATTTAAATTTTATTTGTCTTTATAGTTCATTATAGTTTTAAGGTGAAAAATTTTATATTTGCGTAATCAATTTTCAGTGTCATTTCTCAAAGCATAATGAATGTTCTGAATCCTTTTAATCTTTGAAAGTTGTTAAACTCATACCTCTGATCATGGTCCTCATACCCTCCCTAGGATCAGTTTAGAGCAATACATATTTGCTTAGTCTCTAGTTGTGTGACCTAGAAGTTTTCTAAGCATCATGGAACAATTAAAAGAACCCCTTAAGTATTAAAAACACACAAGAATTTCCATATAAGAGGCTAAAGGTATCTATCTTGGAAATAAGTAAGATAGGGTTAGATAACATATTCTTTGCTATATTTAAGGATAAAGTAGTAAGATAATTAATTTATACTGAGATATTGGTGTATGGTAGATTGCTTTGTACAAGGTATATTTTTCTTTACAAATATTAATTAGATGTTGGCCAAGAATATATGCTTATTTAATAAAAGCCAATGTGTAATGTTAATGGAAGCACGATTAAGATAATTGCATAAAATTAGCAATATTCTTAGATATCGACAACTTTGGAATAACTAGCTAGTTGCTGCCTATTGTCCTATCCAAATATTATAGCAGATTCTAAATATATAGATATTATTAAGAAGAAATTCAAAAGTTTCTGATAGTTTAAGTACTAAGAAGATTATTAAATATTTTCTAATATTTCTTATCAAGTGGAAACAAAATGCATGATGAGAGCATATTCAAGGAATTCAAATTGCTTTAGTATGTATAAAACAGATCAAGTAACTTTTCAATTACACTGCATGACACCTTTCATTATTCGTTTTATTGCTAAATTTGTTTTCCTCCTATGTTCCTACCACCAACAATTTCCTGCACATCACTCTTCCTACAATTACATGAAAGGTTTTCTACTTAGGTTTCTTGGGTTTCAGAGAGCAGAGTAAAATGAGCAATTTCATCTTCTCTTGTAATCATGCACAATAAATTAAAGAAATAGGAAACAATAGAACTTCACTTAGATGAAGCTAAGAAACATCTGTTACCATTTTATACTTCATAAGCAATATCATCATTAAGCTAAAGTTTCTTGAAATGTACAAATAGATGCAAATTATCAAAATATTATTGCTGTTTATGGAGCATGGCCTGCCTCTTGCCAATCATTTTCAAGTACATACCTCACAATATATTTTTTTATTTTATTATATTTTTATTTCAGCATATTACTGGGGTACTACAAATATGTAAGTTATGCATATTTCCTTTGCCCCACCTGAGTCAGAGCTTTAAGCGTGTCCTTCCCCTAGACAGTGTGCACCGCACTCATTAGATATGAATACACCCATCCCCTCCTCCCACCTCCCACCTGCCCGATACCCGATGAATGTTACTAGTATATGTGCACTTAAGTGTTGGTCAGGGAATCGAAAAGTCCCAAAACAATAGATGCTGGTGTGGATGAGGAGAGATAGGAAAACTCATACACTGCTGGTGGGACTGCAAACTAGTACAACCTCTATGGAAAGTAGTATAGAGATATCTCAAAGATCTAAAAGTAGAACTACCATTTGGTCCCATTACTAGACATCTACACAAAGGAAAAAAAAAACATTCTGTAAAAAAGACATCTGCACTAGAATGTTTATAGCAGCACAATTCACAATTGCAAAGATGTGGAAACAACCCAAGTGTCCATCAGTACCTGAGTGGATTAATAAAATGTGGTACATGTATACCATGGAGTTCTACCCAGCCGTAAAGATCTACCACCTCTTGTATTATCTTGGATAGAGTTGGGGCCCATGCTACTAAGTGAAGTATCCCAAGAATGGAAAAACAAGCACCACATGTACTCACCAGCAAATTGGCATTAACTGATCAGCACTTAAGTGCACATATAGTAATAACATTCATCAGGTGTTGAGCAGGTAGGAGGGGGAAGGTAGGGATGGGTATATTCACACCTAATGGGTGCTATGTGCACAATCTACAGGGTTGGACATGCTGAAGTTCTGACTCAGTGGGGGGACAAAGGCAATATATGTAACCTAAACATTTGTACATTGGTAATATGCCGAAATTTAAAAAAAAGTTTTAAAAGCTGTTACGGAAAAGAATCAGAACACATTTATGTAGTTTAGTATATTTTTAAATTAATACTTCTCTCTAAAGGGTGTCAGGCAGATAGGAAGGGGGAGGAGGGGATGGGTATACACACACCTAACAGGTACAGTGAGCACCATTTGGGGGATGCACATGCTTCAAGTTTTGACCCTGGTGGGACAAAGGCAATATGCATAACTTAAACATTTGTAGTACCCCAGTAATATGCTGAAATAAAAACAATTAACAACAACAACAACAAAACAGTTAAGCCTACAGTCGGTCACGGATACATAAACAATTCTGGGAAATATACCACTTAACTATCAAGGAAAAACTGTTAAAATCATATGCAGCTCCTTATTTTGTACACACTATTGTTTATTTGTGCACACTTGAGACCAGAAGGCATGATACATTAACTACTACCCAGAGCTCTCTAAACAGCACATTAATTTACCCTAAGGCCAAAAAAATTCATTTCTTAAATTATGTCATAATTTTAACAATTCTTTCCTAATAGAGGGCAAAAATATATTTCTTCTATAGAGGCCCAATATTCCACAAGAGTGGAAATACTAACACCTGAAGAATTTTCCTCTCTAGGGGACATTTCCATAAATGGAAAAAAGAAAATAAATTGCACACTTGTTGCAAACACAGTATATATTTTTGATAGATTAAAAAGTTAAATTGTTATTATCATTGTCATCATTTGCAGAAACTCTCAAGTAATTTTAGTCATTTTTTTGCTTGCTTTTATATACAAGACAGATTCTTTGTTTGCTGAGGGGAAATATTAACAGCAAAAGGATCATATAGCAAAAGCTTCTACATGGTACTGACTTAAGTGTTACACTTGGGGGGTAATTTTCACCTAATTATTTTCAGTGAAGAACTTTATCAGAATTGAATTGCAAATTGTGCATATACATAGTGGGTTTGATTTTCTCATTTAGAATAAAGTCATTTTAATAGGAGGCATAATTAAGCTAAGCTATTCAGACGTTTAATAATAATAGATGCCAGCTCATAGATGTTTGTTAGGTGAATCTATTAATTTTATGTTTTAAGTCACAAAATTTTAACAATAACATTTATCTGAAGACATATTTGAATATATGTTCAAACAAGGGACTTTTTGTTACATTTGTTCTTTTTCGTTTGTTTTTTGCTTTTTTCAGAGATATTCTTCACATTTATTGAAACACAGTGATTGTAGATAGGCACAGTCAATAGTAAACATGGCAAAATTGCCCCCATTAGTTTCAGATCTCTAATAATTTTACAATATTGAATGAAGCCTGGAATCTGTAGCTAAATACAGTGTTTTTTTCTTTATCCTTAATAAGAAATGACTGTACAATTCTGATATCATATCTCATATTATATAACATTTTGATTAGTTGTATATACTATAACATTATATTAGTTGTATATACTATAAGAATTATAGTACACCTTAGTTGTATTACCTTAGTTATACTAATTATTAGTATTTGTTGGTAATTATATTACTTAGTTGTATTACTATAAGAATGCTAACTGTATAGTATATGTATTTATCCATCTACAAAATAATGCAAATACAAGCCTATACAAATTTAAAATAAAAACAATTGTAACCAAGTAGAGAATATTTGGTATAAAATCTGAATTTATGTATTTTATCAATTTACTGATAACCAGGATGTATGCTAGGCAATTTATATATTTTTTCACTTAAACTCCCACAAAATCCCTTTATAGACTAAAAATAGATTTCATAGAGGTTAAGTCACTCGCTCAAGGTAACTTAGGTATGGTACACAGAAACTGGGAATGTATGTTTAATCTAAAATACTAATTATATTGAATTAACAAATCATGAGTTATAGGAACACAGATGTAGTCATTAAAGAAGTTATAGCTTATGGAAATATTCAGTCTCTTCTCCAAACTGCTGTGATTTTTATGTATTTTATCTTGTAAAACCTTAGAACATTATTACAGGATATAGAGAAATTAGTTATCATTTTTTTGTCATGCCTACCTTGTATTCTAATGTGAGTTTTTCCTGGATTTTTTCATTACAGCATCTTCAGCTTTGATCTTCACAGTTTGACATCGACCATCTAGGAGTGCTCTTTTCTGTGTCCATCTATCTTTTGGATTTCTGAGCTTCATGTATATCTAGGTAGGTCTTTCGCCAATTTTATAAAATTCTGAGACATGTATATATTTAAATATTTTTCTCCCCATTTTCTCTCTTCTCTCTATATGGGAATTGAATTACACATATGTTAGACCATTTGATATTTTCCCATGAACTTGAAAGTTTAGTTATATTTTGTATCATATTTTCTGTTTCTTTTGCATATTTTATACTCATATCATCTATTTCAAATATCTTCTATAAGCTTTGTTTCTTTCTATACATGGACCTGAAATTATTATAGTACTTCAAAATGATGAAGAGAAATACCATTAATTTCTGAAATAAAAAGATTGAAAAAAATTCTCATTCCCTAAAGATATCATTCATTTTCTGAATTAACACACCAATGAACTCCCTTATATTACTATCTCTTACTATATAAAATTTAACACAAACACACACACATATACACACATTCGCACATGAACCTGGATAGCAGTCCCTTGGTAAAGCATACTTTAAAGTTTATACTGTCATACTATATATGTTTGCCCAAAATAAATGTGCAATTGTTAAAAATATTGACTAATTTAGTCATTTTAAGTAATCTTTGTGGTACTTTTACCAAATCAACTTGCAAATATTTTTATAAATGTATAAGAAAGATATCTTCTACTGAACATTGCAGCCAAATTTGTAGTGCTTATATTATTGAAAACCATGTGTGTGTGTGTTTGTGTAATATACAAAATAGATATTATAAAAAAATAATTCTATGGAAGTATTTTTACCCACAAAGCAGTATCTGTTTACCTCCTAACATAGGATTCAATTGATGGAAAAAATTAACTCTGATGGATTATTTTGGATAAAGGTTAAAAAAATAGCTTCCTTTGAAAATGTTAAAATTATACTTCTATTTCTGGATAAAGATTATAATTCATTATTGTTTACAAAGCTATGAGAAACTAGCAATACTTTGAAAATTAATCTAGCTTTAATTAGACAATGTTATATTAAAACATAGTAAGTGGTATATAGTAACAATCAATGCATATTTGTTTTTTAAATATTGGTATAAAGAAAAATACTTTAGGTAGCACTTTCTATTATAATTGATCATTTCTTTACAACAAGAATCTCTACCTGGTTTGTTGTAAATCTCTACCTGGTTGGTGGCTTGTGTCTTAACCAGGAAAATATTTCTAGAGGTTATTAGCAGTGTTAAAAGATTTTTCAGGATGTTAAGAGACAGCATTGTTTCTAAGAGTAAATAAGATCATCCCAAATATATTTTAAGTATTAGAAACTTTTAGATTTTTCTCTTTGGACAGTTTTCCTTTTGATATGCTGTACAAACAGGAGAGACAAATTTTAAAACTTCTTAAACATTAAGTCTGTAATATAAAATTGAATAAATGATAAGGACTATTCGTGAATAAAAAATAAACATAGTTAACCAACTTATACAAAATATTCAATTTCTTCATTACACTAGTTTTAGAAAACATTCTTTTGGATATTATTTTTAATTTAATTATTCAATTAAAGTCTAATATTTGTTAAGTCTTTATGGTGGAAATATAGATGTTTTTATATTTTCTTTTACCCAGAATTTTCTGAATTTTAAATAAAAATATACTACTTATATAATTAAAATATGCATATACTTCACCTCTATTAATTCTACTTTAATGGAAACAACTAGACTAGTGCATTAAAAAATGACTGGGAATGCTGATTTTACAAATCTGTGTATCATATTCATAGACTAAAATACAGCATATTATATATAAGTAAATAAGATACCACAAGAAAATAACATAAAAGCCAATAAAGATTAGAATGAAGTGGTTTTTCATGCCATTCACCAGTTGAAAGGCATCTATACTGTTTGTAGTTTTTGGTTATTATAAATAAAACTACTGTGACTATTAATGTGCAGATTTTCATTGAATTTAAGTTCTCATTTCTCTGAATAAATGACCAGAAATGCAATTGGTGGATTTTATGGTAATTGAATATGGCAATTGTATATGACAATTGATAAAAAGCTGCCAACCTATTTTTTAGAGTGGCTGTACAATTTAATATTTTACCAGCAAAGCATGAGTTATCCAGTTTTTGCATCCTTATTAACATTTGGTGTTGTCATTTTAAAAAAAATTTTAGCCATTCTTATAGGTGTGTAATGATATCATGGTACTTTTAATTTGCATTTCCCTGTGGCTAATAATGGTGAACATGTTTTCACATGCTTATTTTCCATTTGTATATTCTCTTCATTGATATATCTATACACGTCTATTGTTCATTTTCTGATTGCCAATTGTTTTATTTACTGCTTAATTTTGAGAATACTTATATAGTATTGATTTTACTCCTTTATCACATATATGATTTGCAAATATTTTATTCCATTTTTTCACATTTGTTTTTATATCTCCATTTGGTCTTTCATAGAACAAAAGTTTTAAATATTGATGAGACTCATTATATCAATTTTCCTTTTATGTATCATGCTTTTGCTGTCAAGTCCATGAATTCTTTGCCTAGCCCTAGTTGTCAAAATCATCTGTCGTTTTTATCTCAAAGATTTGTAGTGTTATAATTTACATTAAAATCTATGATCCATTTTGAATTGATTTTTTTGTGTAAGGAATGAGATTTGGGTTGAAGTGTGTGTGTATATATATATATATATATATATATATATTAGCTATTGTATGTCCAATTGATCCAACATCATTTATTTCATTCTCCATTGAATTGTTCCCATCTCAGGGAATATGACTTAACAATAAGAATGAAAGGGCCAATGATGACACAACAACTTGGATAAATCTCCAGGGAATTTGACTGAGCGCACCAAGCTAATCTAAAAAGCTTACACACTGTATGATTCCATTTATATAATATTTTTGAAATGAGAACATTTAGAAATGGAAAACAGACTAGTGGTTTTCAAGGATTAAGTATGGTTTTCAAGGATTAAGTATGAGGAATGGCCAGAACAGGGGTTGGAGGTGGGATACAATAGTTCTGTGTTTAGACTGCAGCAGTGAATATACAAACCTCCATGTGATGAAATTGTATTAAACTAAATACACATCCATACACGTATATGAGTACAATTAAAACTGGGAAATTCTGAGTAACATCAGTGAATTGAATAAGTGTCAATATCCAGTTTGTAATACTGAATTACAGTTCTGCAAGATGTTACAATTGGAGGGAGCTGGGTAATCTGTATAAGAGCTTTCTGTATTTTTTTACTATCATATGTAAATCTAAAATTATCTTAACAAAAACTTGAATTGAAAACATTTAAAAATTTAAGTTTATCTGGTCATCTCCAAGAATCAAGAAAAGTTTGCATCTATCCCTCCAAATTGAGAATATCTAATACAAGTTAATTTTGCATTATCTGGCTAGGTTTTATTTGGGTACATATTTAAATTCATATATTTGAGGATTCTGTAATACATACTACTCCAATATTATGCCAATGGGCTATATGTTTTAATTTACATAACTATAATGAAATTATATAAACATCTATGTATTAAAGACATTCAGTAAGTGTTTATTAAATAAAAGTATACATACATTTTTTATTTTAAACTTATTGACCATTTTAACATTCTCTATAGTCATGGCAATCTTTATATATGGTTGTATATTCATAATATTGTGAGACTTAGGGATATAAATGAAGGAATAGTGGAATATCTGTGAAGTAGAGGGGTGTGACCCTTTGTTTTGTTGACTTCATGCAATTTCAAATATGCAATCTCTTTTAATTCAGTGGCACATTCCATTAAAATGTTGAAAAATTCACATTTTACTTGCATTTTCCATTGAAAGGGAAATGACTGAAACTCCTCTATTTTGTAAGCATCATTTAATATAAATTCTGTAAATGTATAAAGAAGATATAAAACAATACCAGTACCATGTATTTTGTCCATCTTCCCACCCATAATCATTTCATCAATCAGAATTTTCACCAAACACATCTGAAATTAATTCTTGGGAAAGGCACTTACCAATGATAATTTCCTTTACAACCGTCATCCTAGTGGATGTCTATTATTGCATTATACTGTCAAATAAATACATCTTGTCACAAACCTATTTTCAAATTGTTGACAAATTGCTATTTTTTGGACAGCCTCAGAAATTCTGTTGCCCAGAGAGATGGCTATTGTAGAAACGTCTGAAAAATATTACTGCATTTCAGGCTGCCTTTTTATTATTATTATTATTTGGCTTAAAAGAGCCATGACATTGTAGTTTGTGACAAGTGACCTGTGAACACTTGAATTGAAGTTTAACCACTATTTTGATGTTCTGCCTATTATGTGTGTCATTTAAAACAAATACCGACTGTTACTCCTTTCATGCCTATTCAAACACACTATAGTTATAACCCAAAACCATATGTCAAAAATGAGCCAGATATGCAAAGCACAATTGAATAAATATATAGTTGTTACTAAGGTGATAAAACAACTTTGCTATTATTAATATGTATGAACTTTTTAAAGCCTTAGCTGTTCATGGATTTATAAAAAAGAATAAAATAATTTTAATATACTGCAGAAATTGTGAGAAAAAACACTACAAGTTCTATAATGCCATCTTCTTGATAAATATTAAAGCAGATTTATTTAAACCAAAAGAACTTGGAGTCTAGTACATGACTCAATGCACAGTAACTCGAGACCACTGAACTAAGAAACTAAACAACAAAGCACTGTCTTCTGGGGGCAAGAGAGGGAATAAGAAAACTGTGAATTTGATTATTACTTTATAGTAACCTTCTTTTTTAGAAAAAATATAGATTCCATTACCTAAATGTTTTTCAATGTTTCAATATCTATTTTTATATATATGCATGTGTATGTGTGTGTGTGTATATATATATTCTCAAGCAAGTTTGAAATGAGAGCAATTTCCATGGCCATTAAAAATCCCAGTTACCTGACTGATTTGTTAGCTATGATCATTTACTACTTCTAATTATTTTCAAAGAC